GTGCTGAGTGGCGATCAGAAGTACAGGGTGGAAACTAGAAGAATGGAATAGCTACAAGAAGTATGGAGTGGCTACCAGAGGTATAGAGTGGTTACCATTCATTTTAACCAAAAACTAACGCAAGGCCACTGAGGGTTCTTTATCGTGTCAATCCATACCATATTAAGGGGAATCGGGTGTTAATGTCTTATCCGAAAGACTCACAACTTTCACTTCAAAGTGCCTCGGACCTGGCGATTAATCATTTACTACCTACAGGTATTTTGTTTCTATCGACTTAGGCCAGACTCTACAGAAGTTCGAACCAACAACCTTCCAATCATGGAAAGAGCGTTCTACCGACTGAGTTATCGTGACGGTTACAACTAATTGATTGTATGTTGTTTCACGTCCCTCTTGAGAATTTTTCACTTCCTAAATATGGAGACGCCACCACTTGCCGGTTAAGAGCTACAAATGTTGTCCTATACTCGGCACTCAGAGCCATTGGTGATCGAAGGATCTTTTTCGTCCCAGTACCTACTGCGACGCGGGACCTCGGTTTACACGGTCTTTACCAAAGGACCGCTCTCCACGTCCCACAGTGGGATTCGAACCCGCGACGTAACCTTGGATCAGTTCGCGACTCTAGAGCAGACGCTCTAACCACTGCGCCACGCGGGCGACCAGTTACAATTGAAATTCATAGCAAAGGGATGCTGGAGTTGAGAACATTTACAATGTATGTAGTATTTGGATACCAGGTCTTCCTACAATTTGTTAGAATTCCGATGGAAAATTATTGTGCTAGCTCCTTCATCAGCTGACCTGTTTCTATTTTCTTATGAAGCAGGATTTTTTTCAAAAACTTCTACATGAGATGAAGAAAACACTTGCTGTGGCCTTAAACTTGACATTTACATATACTGATTATCAAATTAAAGTTAATTACTTCCATTCATATGTTGACTCTATATATTCCAGTGAACTTGAAATTAAAGACACCACGGAGTCTACCACATCTGTTTCATATATTTGGATGTTCTAACGACTATAATAGACGATAAGAGCTATCTAACAACTATGACAAAGAAGGTGATTTTCTACTTCTCCGTCGTCAAACGTCCTTATTTATATAGTGATAATATCCCCCAATCACCTGCATATGGTGTTTACATCTCCAAACTTATTCTATTTTCAAAAGCATATACTTCGAGTTTTATCAGTTTTGAAACCAAAGCGGGCAATTGAAAGATAAGTGTCAGGAATTCAACTATTTCATTTCAAATATCGAAAATTTTATTGTTGTTAAATGACCTTGTTAGCAAAACGTATTTTTGCTGGCTTATTAGGTCTATGTAAGTAAGTAAGTAATTTATTTATTTATAGTGACATGTGTACAATTAAATTCTTTTGTTTACAGACTGTATAAAATAACAATCAACACCCGGCCCATCGGGCCTATATGCCACTTTAAACACAAAATTGAAATACAATATATAATGAAAATAAGGAGCACAACGTTAAGAGAATAACAAAAAAGTGCATGAAAAATAAACAATTGTATAATTGTGATAAGTATATATCTATACATTTTGTATGGTAAGATTGGTAGTGTCTGTTATAAGGATTATTGGTAGATGAAGATGAAATTGAAATACATTATTATTTTCTGAACATGAAGGACTGTCTTCGCATAAATAAAAAAATACAAATACTTTGCAACCTGTCTAGGATAATTTGAAATAAGTACACATAGTAAATCCATATCTGACCACCCCATTTGATTAATGCCAGTGTTTTCAAAAAGTTTTGATCGATATTCAGAGTATAAAGGACAATGCAGTAAAAAATGAATTTCGTCTTCTACATTATCTATGTTTTTATACTGAATTTGCGTATACCTTATCAACACATGGGGCTCACGGCGGATGTGACCATAAAAAGAGGATGCTTTACTCCTCCTGTGTACCTGATCCCATCTCTAGAATTTCCAGAGGACCGTTTTATGCCCTGTTTACTGTTTGGTATTGTTTATAGATATTTTTAGATCACTGTTCGTTATCTTCACTCTTTCATGTGGATACTTTAAAACTCCAAAGAAGTTTTGGAAAATTTGAAATCACATTTTCCCCCAAAATCCGTAGCATTAAAATGTATGACTTTTATACACTTTATACAAACATTTCCAACATGAAATTATTGAATTTCATGAATTTTGACATCGTAAGCAGCTGCATTTTTATTAGAAATAGAAGTATTAAATTTTACGACCTTGTAATTGGACATCTGTAAAATTCTTTTTTGTCAACATTAATTCTTATTACACACACAAGACTCTGAAGTTGATATCAAAAAGATGCTTGAGTTTCTGCATGATTGACAATATGTAGTGTTTAGAGATCAGGTCTTCCAACAACCTGTCGTAATTCCACGGGTATCAATTACGCCAAGTCATTAGGAAGATACTGAATTTTGTATCCAGTAAAGCAGAATTTATTCAAAACCTTATTCATGAGAAGAAGAAAATACTTGCCTTAGCCTTCAATTAACTCGACATTAAGTTATATAGACGACGTACTAAAAATTAACATGGAATACTTCCATTCATATGTCGACTCGGTCTACAATATAAATATAATACACGATTTCTATCTGATTAACTACTACTTTATGTAAATAAACAGTAAGTTCTTATCACATTCGAAACAAATTTCAAACTTAGTCTACTTGAGAAGGTCAAGGAAAGTCCATATTTGGATTCCTCGACACCAGAATACAGTCTCGGGTCCTGTGTTATACGAATACTGCAACTTAAAGATTTTTCCGAACTAAAACTCCAATATGCCAACAAAGGATTTAACGGGGTTAGTATTAAGTAATTTTCTAAATCACAAAAGGGTTTAGTCTTGATCAAATGTTAAAACTCCTCAGAAACGCACTCATTTACACCATCAGAGGAAATGCATTGGCAAACGTTTATAACACTTGTCTTCTGTAATAATTCATCTACACAGCCATATTATGGTATGCAAGGCTTTGTTTTCTTTTATCTCCATAAACAGCGTCAAAACCTGCCCGCCGAGTGGAAAAGTCGAATTCAACCATGAAACAGTATGTGCTAACCTCGGACAACTTCTGGAAAGATTAGAGCTACTGACAAACACGTTGATGAAACAAGAATATCAACAGAATACATAATGTAAGGTCATTAATAGTTCTTCATCAATATTTGAACATGTGTACAAATAGACTTTACTGTGATTCAATGATCATAATTATATATGTTCATGCGTGGATCTAGAGGGTGCAGCAGCGGATTCTGGGGTTTTGGGAACCCCACCCACCCCCCCGCTCATTGATTTTTTATTTTTTTTTTTTTTACAAGTGTCATTTCATCATTTTGTTGCATTGATAAGACTCTAATAAACATGAACCCTTTGTTTTTACAACTGTGAAATATACAACTACGTAACAGGAAATCACTTTCCGCTTGAACGCACACAATACACAGGTGATCAACAGAGAGATTGCCTCAGAGATCGGGTAGTCCGTGCAACTGGTGAAGTCACACGGTCACAGTACAATATGTAGTCAGGTACCAGCAACAGAAAACTGCAGAGTTACGGTGCTGCTCAGTAATATTCTTTAAAATTTGCTGATAAAATGCATGTTTTTTAAACTATTAATAAACTACATTTGTATTATTTAGTTGTTTTTTTTTTTACCGTTTTAAAAATTAAAATTAATATATTTTTTAACAAAACCAGGTTGGCTTAAGAAACCCCTCTATAGTTTTGACAGATTCTCCAGTTTATGTAATTTTTTCTTCAGTTTGAAATTTCATTAATTGAACATGTGTCTTTATATTCCAAATCATATTAACAGTATATACTCAAGTAAGTTGAAAAGCACTAGTAAGGGATTCTGAAAATAATTCAATTTTTAATTTTTTTAGTGTTGTACGTAAAAAACATTAGTTGTACGTATCTTGGAAGTCAGCTTGCCATGGGACTAAATTAATTGTAGGTGCATTTGGAGTAAAGACAACTTGAAGTCAACTGCTTGCATTCCTAAAATTGGCAGATTTAACAATTTTTTAAAGCAAAATCTAAAGTCTTGTGTTAAAGTTTAATCAAATTGAAAACATTTTATTAAAGAATTGTGATGATCAGTCTTTAAAAAAGCTACAAAAAGTACCCCCAAAATGCTGGAAAATGCACCATTTAGAACCATTTAAAACAAAATTTTCTCGGGGGAGGTCCCCCGAACCCCCACATATGGGAGGGGGACACCCCCTCCCATGCCCTCCCCCTTCGGCCCTTTGGGCCTCAACCCCCCCCCCCATATGAACTTCTGGATCCGACACTGGGGTGGGGGATTTTGCATCTAGTTTTTAAATCTATATATACTAAACCACGTAAAATTGCCCCTTCGACCCCCTATAAAAAGCTGACCCTTCCTCCAATACGCGAATATATGCTAAGTGGCTATAAAAAGTACTAAGTTTCTAGGAATGAAGCTTTAATTTAAGTCAATGATTACCCCTATCCCCCACCCCACCTGAAAGAGGTTTTTCAAGTTTGGGAAAGGAGTCTTTTTGCTTGTCAAGAAATTTCTGGGCTGGGGATTTTTTTTTTGACTAGGGTGGACCCCACCCCACCACAACACTGGAAAAATTCCTGGATCCGCGCCTGATTTATACATGATCCAACCTCTTTCCAGCGGCCTGGGGTTTTTTTTTTTTTGGGGGGGGGGGGTATAATTTAAACTTTTTCATTCATAAGGATCAACCATTTTTCCAGCACATACAGCAGAAAATGCACTAATTAAAATACTAGTAGTAACCTGTGTGTAAAATGTTTACCGATAATTTATTGATTCATCTTTTATCTTCTAAATATGAAAGAATCTGCGTTTTACAAAATTCCGGAAAACGGTTATTGTAATGTTTAGTATCAGTCAAGCTGTTTCCGGTGTTGATCTTTTATTTCAATCTTTCAATCGTTGTAAACAACGATGTCGACATTCGATACAGATTTATCTGCGATGATTTGTAGCCCAGATTGTTCACCATTTATTATTTACAACATGATTAATCACTGGGAATCAAGGAAATGGAGTATGGAGCTTTTATCTCAACAAATCACACAAAAGTTATCCTGCAAGCTTTCTCCAAGGGATAGCCAAAGTAAGACGATCTAGTTTAATTATATGATTTCCATTCTTTTATTTTTACCGATGAGCATCTTCGGATAAGAAGTTTTTTTTATTGGGGGGGGGTGCTGCCTGTGAACCCCAACTGTCTGAAATTAACCGTTATCCTCGAAATGGGTACTGATAATGATTGTGGCTTTGTATACATGTACCTTGTACATGTTGTATATGCAACTTGGTTTTGATGTGGAAATAGTTAAAGAATACTGTATACAGTCGTTTGGCCAGTTCTGGATTTTGGCCAGTTCCGAATAATTATAGACTTAAGAGCAGATGATTAATACATTCAAAGGTGTAAAAATAAATTGATACCTATAGTAAGAAGGCTTATTTATTAGTGTTTGAATTATGCCAAGTTTTGACTTTTTGCTGCCAGTTGGGTTTCGTTATCATACTTGAATCACCGCGACGCGTAAGTCTGCAGAAAGACCTCTGTAGAGACACCAATTTTTCACACAAAACAACATTCTAGGTATCAAAAGTAAGTTTGATATGTACTCTAACAAATACTAAAAGCTTGTTTAAAATAAATATTTAGAACACTGGAAGATATTGGAACATTTTCGTGTAATCATTTTACTAGTTCCGGATACCCATTTTAAACACTATCATAAATTCATTCTTTGTTGTTTTCTTCATTGAAATCGTGACTTATTATACCCCCGCTTGACAAGCAGTGGGATTGGGTATTATACCGTAAATCTGGAAATTTTTGCTGTAGATAAATTTTTAGCAAATTTGCGAGTTCATTGCATTCGCAAAAATATTTTTCTTAAAAATAAATTACCAATAAGAAAATGTAAACAAAGCAGTGGTAATTCGCAAAATTTTGAAACGTAAAAATTAATCAACACCATTTTGACCCGAATTCGCAAAATAAAATCGACGTAAAAATTTCCAGATTTACGGTAGTGATGCTATTTTTGCCCATCCATCCGTCTGTATGTCCGTCCGTCTGTCTGTGCGTCCGTCCGTGATACGCTTTAGGGTACCCATTTCTTATCCACAACTCCTCTTCTACCACTGAATGAAATTTAATGAGGCTTCACAGAATTTTAATGAAATTTGCACAGAATCTTTGTTAAAAAGTGCCAAAAGACACCTTCTGTTTTTATTTTTTGATATGGCACATAATTTGGGTTCCCTTAGCATACCATGGATACTGCCATTCTTTCTAATTAATATTGAAGGGTATATCTATCTCTTATCCGCAATTCCTCCATTCCACTTAATAAAATTTAATGATACTATAATGGATTCTTTATTACATATTGTGCCATTGTACATGTGACCTCTTATTTTGACTTTTTGATCTGACACTTATTTCGAGTCAGCCAAAGAATCATATAGGAGGCGTGAGGTACATGTATCATTAAGCGAGTTCAGTGTTCACAGTACCCCTAGTTTTCTTTATCCTTTGGAAATACAAATAACTTATTGATAAGCAATTAATTTAACCATTCTTAGGCATTCCAAAGGATAATGTGTGGGAAGTATATTTGTTAATTTAGGGTTAAATTGAATGGATACCGCTGGGTTATTCGGAACTCGTCGGCTTATTCATAACTGGTAAAAAAGACACCTATGTTAACTTGCGAAAAATTTTTTTGGAGGGGAAGGCTGAACTTTTATTAAAAAATATTTAATTCAACAACTCACTGAACTACCTTGACAAAAAACTTAAATTTTGAAATAATGCCTCGTATATTGATAGCACCGCCGATTCCGTTTCTTATTCGGAACTGGTCAAATAACTGTATAAGTGTACTTTAAGCAGACTTCATATTTTAGCGGCTTTGGCACAGATAACAAAGCCTTAATTCATGAATATCATAAATAGATCATAACTGAATGGGATGCATAGCATGAAAATCTGTAAAGCTAATTTTTAGTTACACTAACTATTCCATGTTAAGTAATTGTATTAAATTTTGAATGTTGATTTATATGCAGTTATGCACACATTCAGCAACCTACAGATGTGCAGCTAGGTTAATTCCCTCAGGGATCTACACCTGCTTCAATGAATCTTCACCCCTTGCCAAATATATCAGTGGAAAAAACCAACTGATTGAATACCTCGGCTTTAAAATTCTTATTTACCATAGAGGTGCTCACCACAACTAGCTACACTAGCCATTCACTTAATAATAAAGCCAATATAATCATGACAGAAACTGGAAGGTATGATCTTTTCATACAGTACATTTCAGATTTATGGGAGACGCAGTGTATTCACAAGGATGTCACAATGAAAGAATTTTATTCATGGATGCAGTCAAATGATGATAAATCAAATCCACTTTGTAAATATCCATCAGAGGCATTCTCTGGTTACATAGACTATAAATATATGAAAGACATTTCACCCAAAGAACATCTTAAGGTTAGAAAATATCTTTTTCACTGTGGTGTTTTATATGTGCATGGCTTCCCAATCAAACCAGTAAAAATGGTAAAAAAGGTTAAATCACATTACCAGTGAATATTTTTCAGGCAGTGGACTGGGGGATGTTTGGATTTCCAGGGCGGGATGGAACAGAAAGCACCATCTGGATTGGAACAGAAGGATGTTATACTAACTGTCACTACGACACATATGGATTTAATCTAGTAGCTCAAATTCAGGGAAGGTAGGTAGGATAATGATAAAATGCTATGCATTTCAATCAGTGGTATTTTCACAACTCTATATGCTATGGTATATTTTGTATAAGGAAGCGCTGGATTTTGTTTCCCCCTTGGGAGAGTTTCTATCTTTATCCCACAAGAATTCCTTATGAGGAGTCAAGTGTATTTAGTGAAGTGAATGTAAAAAATCCAGATTATCAACACCATCCAGAATTTAAGGTACTGCACATAAAATTTGTATTACTTTAACAATGTTAAAAAAATCAACAACTTAAACTGTTAAAAGAAGTTCAGATTTGATAAATTTTTGACAATTATTATAGACATAGAGAGTTCATGGGCCTTGATATGAATATGATATTCACTAAAGCAATATAAAACTTACACCTTTCAATTTATTTCACAAGCAAGCCTCCAAATTTGACCATATCAAAATAAATAATCCAGCATACAGTGTTTTTCTCTAAGAACAGGGTATCTGCCAATTGACTACATTATTCATAAAAATTCCACTTAGAAATTCAAAAATTATTTAAAAAAAAAATAATTGTTAAAAAGTCCACAAAAATTTGTTCATAAACCTCTGGCCTGATACAATTGATCTCTCACCCTCTACTTTGAAAAAAAGGGAAAACACACAGTACACAGAAATGTTTTAAAGTTTAATGCAGTAGAGTGGGGGAGGGGAGTGCAGAACAACTCAAAAACTCTGAAATATACAGTTGAACTTTGGTAACACAAACACTAATGATATCTTGAATACCATGCATATTTAAATATATATATGTCCAAGTGATTTGGAAGTAAATAAACGTACATGTTGATTTATGGTTCATGTAAACAGAACATAACATTTATTTCATTATGTTATTATGTTGTACGTTTTATAGAAAGCCTGTCCCTACATTGTGACACTAGAGCCAGGACAGGTCCTGTATGTTCCTCGTCATTGGTGGCACTACGTAGAGAGTCTAGAGGATTCAATCAGCGTCAACACCTGGATTGATACAGTAAGGCTAGCACTTCTTACATTCTGATACATGATTTCAAAGATTAAAACTGCTATGTTTCTTCTACAGTGGACTTTCACAGATACTCTTCTCTAAACAGTGCAGAAATATTGAAACTTGAGATGATAGCAATTTAGAAGTTGTAGAATCTTTTTGGAAGCTTTCATATTGAGAAAAACAAAAGGATGTTTAATATTTAAACTCAACAACAATATCCAAATTTTTTTGAGGGCCTCATATATCATTAAAACATTCTGTACTGCATGTTTTTAGGGTAAGGGTTAATGAAATTGACAGCCCTATAGAAAATCTCTATTGACCGACATCTATATTTTATCTCATGTCTCTAATGATAACATCTTGTAGCATTACATGTACCAAGTTAATCATCAATCATCAACACAGAAAATACGATGTTTTTATAGTAGTTACTGGTATGTGTGCAAAACTGATTCACCTTACCTAAATCATATATCACTTTCTCTTGCTATGAATAAGATAAACTATAGTATACAAATTGTTTTTGCAGGAAGAAGACTTAGAAAGCCGTATATCAGAGGCCATTACAAGGTGCTTGTTCTCTACACTTCTAGAGGCTAGGGACCAGTTAAAGGAAGATCAGAAAGAGGACCAGCCAAAGAATGATCAGAAAGAGGATGACTGGATAAACCCTGGTGAAGTGAGTCAATCAATGTAAATTTTGATACAGTTTTTATCATTTACAAGTGCAATGTGAAATATGTCCTTTGTATGATCTTTGTTTTGTAGGAAATGCTGTCACTTGATACAAATATCCAGCTTTTACAGTTAGCACTGACAATGAAATGTGGTACTGATGAGGAAAAAGTTAAAAATACTCGGAGCATGTTGTGTGATGCTCTCAGGGACATTCCTGTTAGAGGCAGTGACAGGTGTTACAGAAAGAAGAGAAAATTAAGTGAAAATTTGGAAACCTGTGATAAAGGAGGAGCAACTAAAAATCTTAAATATGAAAAAGAAGAAAATTGCAAGCTTGATAAGGGAGATAACTTAAATGCGGATTTAAATGAAGAATTGTGTTCACAAGATTTACAAACTACTGGTGGGCAAGATTTTCCTTATATTATCATTCTTGAGAGTAAAAACAAAGGAGATGACAACAAGGAAACTGAAGAATCTCAAAATGCAAAGACAAACTTAAAATCTAAAACTCCTGGAAACATGTGTAAGCCATTTTCTGAAAGATGTAAAAATGAAACCTCTTCTAAAGTGTTTGAAAAACTGGTAAAAAGTGTGCTGCATCCACAGGTTATACAAACAATATTAACACAGCTTAATCAATAATAATCAACTTTAACATTCAATTACTTTGTAAAAATTAAAGCTATTTTGTTGAAAAACCTTGTATTTATCTCTTTTTTTCAAGATATTGTGCCCATGTGGCACAGTGGTTAGAGTGTTTGCTGTAGAGTAGTGGGTGTAAGGAATTGATCCTTACAACAGGGAATTTGAATCCCACTGCAGGATGCATCCTTCATATGAAACCATATAAACCAATGTCCGTTGTTGCAGTAGGTGCTGGCACAAAAAAAAAACCTCATTGCTCAATGACCCCGAGTGCTGAGTAGAGGTCTAAAATTTGCAGCCCTCCATCAGCAAGTAGTGGCATCTTTATATGAGCAAAAAATTCTTGAAAGGGATGTTAAACAAGCAAACTACAGCTAGATATTGTCCTATAAATCTGCATTAGTACTATTACAGTGCAGCATTCATTTCAATAAGGTTATGTTTTTGGAGATTTGTTTTAAGTCCAACTTAGCCAAACTTGCAAGGATGACGTACTAAGAATTGAATGTAATCAGATGCTGCATGACGTTTGCATCTTTTATTTAGAAATGTAACTGTTTAATCAATACAAATATTATAGAGCAAGACTTCTTTCAAATAGATGTAGCCCTCTGATAAAAACTTGCTGGACCTGTCTCAAATTTTTCAGCCCAAGTCAGCAATCAAACAAACATTATTTTAAAGTTGGATTGAAGAATACCAGTAAAACCTTGTTTTCTGGAACTCAATTTATCGTGGAAAAACAAAGAGATATATCTGAGTATTTTACATTTCAAGGTTAAACTACTAAGCTACAACTTTGTTATGGAGAATCATCAGATGCTCATGCTTCATATAGATAGTTTATGACCTAAGGATGTATCATGACCTTGACACAAAGTCATACCAGCAAGTTCAATGTCACTGGTATTTAAAGTGTAAAATTCATAACGGGTCTAGAATTTTCTAATGGAGAAACAATGCATGTACATATTTATACCCCATTCGAAGAAGGAAGGGCATATTGCTTTGCTGCTGTCTGTCAAATCACCAACAGTTTCCATTTATTTTCTTTTCAGAGATTGCACATACTGAAATGAAATTTGGTATAAAGATTTATCATGAGAATATCTAGGCCATGTTTTGTATTGGGTACATGTAACGGACCTGAGCTGTATGGATCTCACGCACAGATACTCCTTAGAAGCCTACACGGGAATAACCCATGTAGTACTGTGATTATTTCCGAGAATAACCCGCAAATAAAGATCTCCTATAATAACACAAGAATAACCTGTGTTTGGACTCGTAAATAACTACGGGGAAGTTAAATGATAAGCCTTATTTAAAGTTTACAAATTTATTCAATAAATAAAAGTCACAATATGTATTAATTAATATTCAATTACAATAAAATTCAATGGAAGTCGGGAATCACCCAAATTCACAATGAATTACTACACTAACACAACCTTCGTATTACGTTAATACGATAAAAAGGGGGGGGGGGGGGCGCACTAAACGAGAATGACCCGAATAGTGAGTAATAAATACTATAGAAATACCTTAGAATAACCAAAGTATTTCTGAAAGAATCTACACAATCTATAAAAGCTATTTAAAGCAAGAAATTTATCTCTATAATTTCTATATCGAATCCTAGCCTTAATTCCTGCTTGAATATTCCAATAAACGCAACTAGATTATCACTTTAAATTGATTGAATTCCTAAAATCTATCAAAGATAAACAATTATTTACACGGAAAGACTTCAAGAGTCACTTTCAGTCAAACCGTAACAAAATTATTTAATCGTTTAATATCGAGATTAACCCAATATAAACGTCCTACGATAAATACTAGTAATTAATAGTGAAACGAGATTAACCCGTATTCACTATTAGAAAAATTGATGAATTAATTAAAAAATACTAAATTCCTACAGAAAAATGCTAAGAATCAAATAAACAACCGCTAACCTCAAAATCTAAATGCCGAGTCCACCGGCAGTCCTTATCCTCTGCTTATATAGCTCTGGAGAGTCCCCCCGGAGCATATATGGCAAGAAATTGGTACTGCGTTTTTAGGTGATACTTTTGTACCCTAGGGTACACCTCTATTTATCCTTTACCAATATGGTTACAATTAGGGTACAGTACAAAACCATTGGAAAATGAAAGTAGAAAATTTCTGAAGGACTGTCAATGTACCAGGGTTACAATGGGTACAGTGGTTACTTATTAACATGATTAACAGTAATACACCTTTTCTACTTTTATCCTAAAACTATTTGATTTTTGAATTTAAATAGGGTACAGAGGGAACTATGCCTACAAAATCACAACAATATTGACATTTTCATAACTTAAAATGTTTAATTCATATTAGCATGATCATGACCTATGGCTTCAAAGGTCTACATAAAAAAAACACCCACACTCATGTAAGTATTTAAGAGGGTAAAAGTCAGCTTCTTACCTTTAATTATGATTATAATAGTCCTGATCCTTGAAGTTAATTAGCTACACTGATAATTATATTCCAGACTTGAGCATTGCATATGCCACACCTGATACTGTATACCTATCGCAAATGATTTACCTGTACCCCCACTCTGTCTGACAAACACAAACTCTACTAACAGCACCTGATGGTGTGTATTATACACAAACTGATCAAATTATTGTGATCATGTCGGATTGGGTGATCATTTACTTCCATTTCAGGCCAGACTAATCTAATTTACCCTATACACTGTATTTATCTTATCCAATTCAATTTTGGTTAGTAAATTTAAGTAATATAGTAATTTCTAAACAAGTTATTCTAAACTTTATTAATATATTTGTAAATAGTACTAGTACTTTGAACAGATCATTTAATACCTTTTTTAACAAAAGTATATAGGTCCCTGCTATCATATGGGCTGGTAGATTTGAGATTTTTACCAGCACAGAGATTTTTTTTATTTAAGCCCCTCCCATCACCATGAATATAATATTTGTCACTTGTTCTGATAAAAATCTGCATTGCAAATCTCAGATGCTTAAAAATTTGTATTAAGAATTTTTATCCAATTAATCATATTATTTCCAAAACTAACATAGTTCAATACTTTATAAATAAAAGACCATGAACAATGAAATTGAATCAAAAGCTTTTTCAAAATTGATTAAAACCAACAATCCTGGTATATTTTTAGCTTCTGTGTATGCCATTAAATCATAAATAAATCTGGTGTTTTCACCAAGATATCTTCCTTTTAGGAATTCAGTTTATACTTTAAACATATTTTATTGAGTATAATTCAATCAGGATTGGGCAACAGGCAATGCCTATGTAAACCCTCTCCTTTTATAATTGGTCAAGATACAAATTAGTAGTAAATAATACATGAACATGATAATCAATAAAATTATAATGAAAAATAAAGATTCACAATCAAGTATTATTATCAATATTATATCTAAAAAAAAATGACAACCCCCTAACTGTATGCATATTATTTACATACTGTTCCAGCTTAAAAATAATACAAATATTTGAAAAAAAAATTATGCATTTAATAGAATATTTAATATAACAGTGTCCCTAATTTAGTCTTTTAGAAGATTTAATAAATTCTTGAACATATGAAAATATTTTACAATTTGTTTGATAAGAGTATTGAGATTTTCCTCTTAGTAGAGCGTCGAGTTCAAAAACAACATCAATATCATTTAACTTTTTTACCAATATGTTTCTTTCAACATTATACGATGGGCAGTTGATAAAATAATGTTCAGTATGAAATCCACACTTTTGACATGATTGAATATCTGATAAAAAATGATTTTTTAAATGAGCATTAAGATTACTAGCATTGTTTCGCAACTGACAATGCAAGATATAAGGAATTCAGTTTGAGTGTCTGAAATCAAAAGATCCAGAGTATATTTTATTCTGTAATTTAGTAGAGTTATGGTCTCCAATTTTTCAAAAATTGTCTTGGTTTATTCCCATTGGGTATACATGAAATTATCCCTAGTCTTTGTGAAATAGGAATTTCTTTTTTTTTGACAATATACAATTTATAGCTCGCAAATGTACGTAGACTTTAAGATCACTCCAGAAAAAAAAAAAAAAAAATTCAGTTGTGAAACCGTCACTTCCAGGAGATTTATCATTCTTCATATTTTTTAAAACTTGTAAAGCTTAATTTTCTACAATATCTTTTTCTTAATCAAAGAGATGATTTTATCTAATTTTGGAATTTCAGTTGAGTTAATAACTTCTTCTAAATCAATATCAATCAGTTCATAATCTGTATTAGAATATAAATTTTGATAAAACTTTTTGACTTGGTTCAAAATTTCTGATTGATCTTATATAAGGTGACATTTTTTTTTATTTCTTGGTTTACGGATCCGCCGACCTGATTTTTTTAAAGTCTCCTGAATTGATCGAATACTTTGGATTAGAGGACATTATTTTTCTTTTCTTTTCTTTTTTTTTTTTAAATTAAACTAAATTCTTGATCAGGTTTGGCATAGGACATTTTTATGTTCTTTCATTGTAGCTCTAAAATATGGCAGTATATACACGTACCCTGGTACTACATGTATATAAATCTGTGAAAATTTTGATATCTAAATTTAAGGCTCATAAGGTACGTAAACATTGGGTTTGGGAAATGTTTTGCAGTGGAATTAAGTTGCAAAATCAAGTATGCTAGGAAGAGCCAGTGAAATTTTTAGGTGGCTGCTAGTTTAAATGCATGTAAACGGAGAAAGAAATAGAGAAAATAACAGACTTTTAAAAGTTTTTTTTTTCAATGGATGGCACTGTAGCTCTAGGTTTTCCATCCCAATTTTTCTGATCAGAGCTGCAGTCTTGCAGCTATATGGTAACGAGCAGGTGAACTTAGTTTTTATATATAGCATGCATTTTATTCTTCTGCCAATTTACATAGGTATCATAAAAAGAAGAGAATATAATTATTAAGTAAAAAATAGAAGGAAAGAAGAGAAATTAATTTTCACCCAAATTGCAAAAAAAAAAAACAAAAAAAAAAACAAAAACAAAAAC